CTAATGTTAAGGTGGAATCTCTTTTCCTGTAGTTTGAATCCATTGTTCAGGATCCTATTCTCTGGAGCAGCAGAAAACAAGCTAACTCCCTCCTCAATATGACATCCCTTCAAATATTTAAACAGGGCTCTCATATCACCTCTTATCCTTCCCTTCTCCAAGCTAAACATACTTAGTTCCCTAAGTCACATAAGGTAATTTTATACACATTATTTTTAATCATTTTGTTCATGAAACAAAGTTTGTGTACACTGAACCACCAGAAAGTAAAGATGTCATTATCTCAGCCACCTGTGGGGACAGTTTAGGATCTTGGAATATTTCCAATTTCAGGATAAGGGGGAATCAACTTGTACTTGATTCAGACAAGATGTCTGCCCATCAGGTGGCAAGCCCAATTCAGAATTACTATATTGGACCCCTTTTAAAGAGCATAGCTTGGGTGGGGGGAAGGATTTCCCCATGAATCACACTGGCATGGAGGTTATGGGAGCTTTGGTCTTGAAAAGTAATGTTTCCATGCTGCAGCTAGATTTGCACATGCAAACATAGTATGTATGTGAATATGGAAGGGTGCAAGCAACAGGAGTGAGAGTGAGTTAGGAATAAGAGATGTGGAGGAAAGAGCTTGGAGATTATTATTCAGACTTGGCCAAACCCTCTCTGGAGTTCCTTCTCTTGGCCGTTCTGTCCCTGCCCTCCTTCACCCACACTGTATGTGCAGGAAGCATTAATAGATACACTTCACTATCTCTGCCCAGGAAGGAGGAAATAAGATAAGCATCAGGCTCCTTGCACAAAGGGTATTCTGCTTATTTGCTTAATCATCAGTTCTTGTGTAGGCAGGTTTGCTTCAGGGCTGGAGAAATTCCACCTTTGAGACTAACTGAGAGAGAAATTGGTAGCATAAGCATTTCTACACTTAAGTCTGCTTCATCAGATGCACAGCTAGATATCTCACTAGGAAAAAGGTGAAATATAATTCTAACAAATAAATTACATTAATATGCTTAGTGCAGGGGTAGGCAACCTTTCCCCTTTAAGGGCCGAGGGACTTCAGCTCCCAGAATACCAGGAACTATTGGCTAACATGGGACTATTGGCCAACATGGCTTAGGCTTCTGGGAGCTGAAGTCCCTCGGCCCTTAAAGGGGAAAAGTTGCCTACCCCTGGCTTAGTGCAACCCCAATCCAAATTGGAGAGGGGGTAGTCTCCCGTAATACATCAAACCTCCTTTTCTTGTTAAGAATCCTCTCCACTTTGGAGTGGGCCATGACAGATTGGTTGTATTTGCTACCTGGACTATCAAGACAGGCCGCTGATGTACCATTCACCTTGCTGCCCAACAATCTCATTGCCTGAGCTAATCAAAATTATCTCTTTGTGCTGGGGATAATTGTCCTGATGATCCTCACTTGGGACTGTCCAGTTTGGTGTAGCTCAGGATTTATTGTACACCATTGCAACCATGGAGTTTGTTAGCAGATGTCCTCCATTTTTCATGTATATTTTAGCCATGTGGAGTTCCCTATGACCCCAGCTTGACCCTTGGGAGATGGCAGCCATAATCCCCTAAACGTAAGGTCAGGTAGACCAGGGGTAGGCAACCTTTTCCCTTTAAGGGCCAAGGGACTTCAGCTCCCAGAAGCCTCAGCCATGTTGGCCAATAGTCCCATGTTAGCCAATAGTTCCTGGGATCTGGAAGCTGAAGTCCCTCGGCCCTTAAAGGGGAAAGGTTGTCTACCCCTGAGGTAGACAATGCTGAAGTTGCTCAAAACCATTAAAGATTTCCTGGACAGGCAGGTTTGGGAGTTGCCCTTGGGAATATCCCATTGTACTGGAAAAGATACACAATGATGTTTGTTTGTCTTAGTCTCACACTTAATGTGACAGTGATCAGATTTGATTGCACCCCTTTCTCTAGCTTTCTTTCCTCGATAGTTTTGAAACCAAATGCATTGTTTAGATTATGCCCATGCTTAGGTAAACAATGGTAAACCCATCAAGCCTTTGTCCTCCTATTGTTTGACTCAGTCCTGGTGGCACAGTGGTTAAATGCCTGTACTGCAGCCACTCACTCATAGACCACAAGGTTGCGAGTTCAATACCATCCAGGGCTGAGGCTCGACTCAGGCCTGCATCCTTCCGAGGTCGCTAAAATGAGTACCCAGCTTGTTGGGG